AGGTCCCTTTCCTAACAACATATCTAGATTTCTCTGAGGATAACCAGCTGCTGCATTTCTCCTAGCCGTCTCCTTGCAAAATTCCTCATTGGCAACCTTCCATAACAGGTATTGTCCTCCATTTAGCACAGCTTTACACATATTAGCCCAATCTGCTGGCGTCATGTTCAAGTTGTTAATGGATTCGACCAAGCTTACAGTGAAGGGTGCTTGAGGACCATAGGTTGTTATAGCCTCTTTTAGCTGCTTCACTGTTTTGAAATTTAAAACTTGGTAAAATCGCTGCCCTCCTGCCTCAAATACAGGGCATGTTAATATTTGAGACCTTGTCTCAGGATCCCAACTATCAACTGTGGGGGTTGGGGGCCTCCCAGCATATGGAGGTGGCGCTGTTGGTTGGACACTTTCGCCCTCTGGTGATAGAAAGGTGTTAGTAGCAGTCTCCTGTAGAGGTGGTGCTGTTGGTTGGACACTTACACCCTCTGGTGATAGAAAGGTGTTAGTAGCAGTCTCCTGTTGTAACTTTCCCCCTGATGGCTTTTTCTGTTTTACACTTTCTTTCTCTGTCTGACTAACTTGAGAGACCTTCTCTTTTACTTGAATCATTATGTCTTCTCCTTCCTCTACCATTGTCTGAACTGAAGGCTTTGGACTAAGCAAACAAGATATGAACGTCCACAATGGCAATGTGCCAACTGGCAGAGTCCCTGGGCTTTTCTTTTCTATTCTTTTTAAATCTTCACCATGATGGCTCCATTGTGATATATTTAACAACTCCTCCTTAAAAAGCCATGGGCTACATTTTTGTATTGTATCAACGTATGCCCTGACTGCTCTTGATTTTACTGGGATGCCTCCTTCCTCTAACAATTTACTTAACACTCTTTCAGTTTGTTTTTTACTAATTTCTGATCCCGTATTTCTACTATAATACAACCCAACAAGATGACGCCAAACAAAACCGAGACAGAATGAAATAAAAAGGGAACAACAAAAAGTCATTATAGCCTTTCTATCCTCCTGACATGGGCATCCGTCCTTTCTCCCTATCTGTTCCTCAGACGTAAATAGTTTTTCCTCAGATGTGAGCGGTTTTTCTTCCGTCTCACTCATCTCCAGGGACAGGCAACTTAAAACAAAAGTGAAACAAAATAACAAAAGAAGAATCTTAAAATGGCTACCCATCCTCTCACCCTGCCCTCAGGGGCGAGCAGTTTCACTTACCCTCAGTCGCTCCCCGTGCGAGCCACCAAATGCCGCAGTCTGGCTGGGCACAATCAGGAGCCACTTGTCAAAAGAAACTAACTTTATTTTTAGAACCACACACGACAAACAAAATAGTCTCTCAGGAAAAAACCCTCAGAGCCTCAACTGCCACCACCGGCTTTCCCCAAGCCTCTCTCTCCCACACAAGCTTCTCTCCACCTCCCACAATCCTCCTGCTCTTGAGGCCGATTGGCTGGGTCACGTGGGCGGAGCCAAAAAAGTCCCCCAATGAGCAGCTCCGTGGTCTGAAAGGGCAGGGAAACAGTCCAATGAGCATCACCGCAGAGGAGCCAATCAGCTAGATGTTGCTGGGGCCGAGGAGCCAATCAGCTAGATGTTGCTGGGGCCGCTGTGAGCCAATCATCAGCCAGCAGCTGGAAGTTTGCTGGCAGCTGGAAGTTTGCTGGGGCCCCTCAGGCTGTGGCTCTCAACAAATCCCAGTGGCTTGGGAGGCTGAGGCGGGAGGATCAAGAGTTCAAAGCCAGCCTCAGCAACTTAGCAAGGCCCTGTCTCTAAAAAGGGCTGAGGATGTGGCTCAGTGGTTAAGCACCCTGGGTTTCATCCCCACAACCAAAAACAAAGAGTTCTAGAAGCATCCAATACCTATTGAATTAAGTAGAAAATCCAGTGAAAGTTGGATTGAGTTTTCAAGTTCTCCATTTCTAACCCACACATATCTTCCCCTTTTTAACCTGTTCCTCATTTTCTTTTCACTTTTCAAGCTGTGTTCTTCTTTACTGAAGGGATTTTTTTTTATTTGCCAGGCAAGCGCTCTACCACTGAGCCACAACACCAGCCACTGATACTCTGTAATATTCCTTGTTCAGAAGTCTACTGTGTAATACTAAAATAGCCACTCTTAATTAATTCTACTTCTTGTGTAGTATGTCCTTTTCTACTTTCTTACCTTTACTCTGTTTAAAGTGAATTTCATATAGAAAACTTATATGAAATCTCTTGAGCATAAGGATGCTGCACTTTTTTAAAAAATATAAATTGGTATGCCTAGGCCATTTATACTTAATGTAATTATTAATATTATTGGAATACAGTCTGCCACGTAGCTATTATTTCCCATTTGGCCTATGTGCATTTTCTTTTTCTGCATTTCAGATTTCTTTTAGGTTGATTATTTTATGGTTCCACTTTAACTCTAATATTGGTTCATTACTTATTTTTAACTTTTGGTGGTTTCCTCAAGCTTTGCAATATCCTCTTTTAATTGATCAGCTTCCTGTAAGTATATTTTATAACATTATACTTCCAATTTCTCTCATCTATTGTGCTACTGTTCTCACACATTTTTTTCTTACACTGCTGTAGATAGACATTTTACTTTCTTGGGAGCTGATAAAGCATCTCTATAAAGCTGTTTGTAGTCATCACGTGACACAGAGGAGCTTGAAATATACAGGGCAGGCAATTGTGAAGGAAGATGGATGTGTAATAGGGAAAACAAAAAGAAGTGGCCCCAAATGCATGACTCCCCCAACATTTTCTGAATGTCGGCCAGCTAATATTGTATTATCTTTTTGTCTTTTGATATTTTTTAAAAGAAATATTCTTTTTTTTATGAGAGAGGGGGAAAGCGAGAGAGAGAGAGAGAGAGAGAGAGAGAGAGAGAGAGAGAGAGGGAATCTTAAAAAATAAATATTATTTTTTAGTTTTCGGCGGACACAACATCTTTCTTTGTATGTGGTGCTGAGGATGGAACCCGGGCCGCACACATGCCAGGAGAGCATGCTACCGCTTGAGCCACATCCCCAGCCCTTTTGATGGTATTTTTTAAAAAAAATTGTCCATATTTCACCTGCCAGGTTTTTGTTACAAATTATTACTGGAAGTATACAACACTTTTATTTTTGTCCACTGTATTTTTAAGATTTTCTGCCATTTTTTCCAAAAAAATAAGTTATTAGGAGACTTATCCTCATTAATATATAAATCATAATTAAATTTTAAGATACTTCCTTTTGCAGGAGTTGTCAAATGAAGAATCATATGATCCAATTTCTGAGAACGGTTACCTTCTTTTAAACCATTGAGCAGTTTCACATAATGGCTGTTGTGTTTTTTACTTTAAGTCTACTGTGAGAGTATCTGCCCAACATTTGAGATTTTCTAGTTAAAAAAAAATAAACTCAAGTTTCAAGATGCTAAGTGCCAGATCAAGGAATCCATCACACAAATCCATAGCATAAGGAATCTTACTTGACAAATTACTTCAGCAGGTCAAGGGCATGCAAAAGAGGAAGGGGAGCTGTTTTTCATTACAAGAAATTCAAGACATACCATCAAATACAATTGCTGTATTAGCATAAAGGAAATATATATATATTTTTTTTTGCCCAGAAGAAAAGTGAGCACTTAAGCCTTTCCGTTTTACTTTTCTAGATGAGTCATTTCCTCATTCACTCTCCTTTTCTGAATCACCGTGTTCTCCACAACTTATAGTATTTATGACAGATAGCAAGAGCAGGATGAAAATAGGTGATAATAGAAACTCAAAAATCTCAAGATTTAATATAGGATTTGTCTCTCAAATCACTTTAGTAAGGGATTTACCACTTTTTATCAATTCCATTGGCCTTTTGACCCGCATTTCCTAATCATCAGTTAAAACCTTTTCAAGAAACGGTGGGAAACATTTGTCTTTACGCTTTGCGGCCTCATCAACAGTTGCCTCGGGGTATTGTTTCTTTTGATTCTTAGCATCTAACATCCATTCTTGAGGCTCTCGGAAGGAACACCTTGTCGGCAGATAGTAGCAGAGCGGTCAGTTTTGTAGATCATCAAAGCTCCAGAATTAAAAAAGGCAATCCAGTCAAAGTAAGGTTGACATCCTGTTTTCCTTCAAGTCAGCTCCCAGGGCAGGTCAGCCCAATTTTCTTTCCTTATCTCCATTTTTAGCTCACACACCACTTCCTTTTTATACCTTTTTCCTTCTTTCTCGGATGCATTTCAAGTTTGCTCATTATTTTCTTGGAACACGTACGTAGAGGTAGGCAGAGTTTGCTTTGGTTGAATTTGGGTATCGCGTTTGAAAGGAAAATAGTTCAAGAAAAAAAGGGGGGGGCGGAGTGGGGTGGGGACAACCGAGCCGGACCGGAGCCCCAGCCCTGAGTCGGACCGACTCCCCAACGAGCAGACCGAACACCCGAAGGCAGCCCGCCGCGCGGGAGGTTGCCATGCCGGAGACGCCGGGAGTCCTCGTCCCGAAGGTCCACACGGTGGTAAGACCGCTGTGGGAAAGGCGCCTCTACTTCACCGCCTGCCGGAGGAACCAGCAGCACCAGCCCATCAGCCTTCTCCGCATTTGGGAGAGTCTGGCTCCCGGAAAGTGGAGCCCCGGAATTCGACAGCACAAGCCGGGCGCGAAACCCAACGCACAGCCTCCGGCGCGGCCGGCACTTCCGGCCTGGGAAGGCGAGGGGCGGCCTGGGGATTCTGGGAAGTGCAGTTCGGGACCCCTGGGCGGTGGGATAACTTCCGCTGCAGCCGGCTGCGGCCGCGTCCTGATCCCGTCGGGAATTCTGGGAAGCGTAGTCCAGACGGGCTCTGCAGGAAGAGGCGCTTCCGGCCCAGGTATGCGCGGCCGCGGCCTTGGCTGCTCTCAGAAAGGTGAGCTCTCCCCTCGGCGCGTCCCCTCCCGGCGCCCGCTTACAGCGCTCTGCGTTTCGCTCCGGGCCAGTAGCGACCTGGCGGTGGACCTGCGGGAAGAGTCCTCCTAGGGCGAAGGGCGGGGTTTGCGTTCCCTCCGAAGAGCCTTCTCGAGTGGCGGGCGGTTGGCGTATCCCGCGCGCTGGGCCCGCACCGGGGTCGTGTGTCCTTGGGGGTCGCGGGTCTCCTCGGTTCTGCACCCTCCAGACCCTTTCCTGGCCACAGCCAGCTGTGCCACCTCCCAGAGGTGTATTTGGCGAGTATCTAATCTCTGCCTCCGTTTCCTCTTCTTTAAAATGGCATTCCGACCTCCCTAAGAGTGGTTTTAAGAGTTCAATAAAATGATTGACAACAGACCTGGCACGGGGCAGGAGACGTGCATCATTGATAACATTGGTTGTTGGGCTTCTTTTTAACTTTTCCAGAAACACAGTTCGCTGAAAGCTCCAGGGAACCTAGGAAGGGGTCAGAACTCCAGTTGTAGTGTCCCTGGCCTCTCTCGGATCCCAGAAGGAACCCGGGCTCTACCCGAATGCCTAGGAATCTCCCCCCACCCGGCCCCCCACTCCTGGCTGTTGTCTGGGATGTCCACTGGAATTTATGGAGGAGTTCTGATTTCTCCCAGCCTCCTTTCCTTCCTCAACCTAGATTTGACAAAAGCCGAGGGGAAAAGTCGGGAATGATCCTTTGGCCTGGCAGAATTTAGCATCCTTCCTTCTCCAAATGCAAAGGTGCATTTGGATTTTTGTAGAGGGTCACAAAAGCTATGTCGATGAGCTATGACTTTTTTTAATATTTATTTTTTAGCTGTAGGTGGATGCAATACCTTTATTTATTTTTATGTGGTGCTGACTATTGAATCCAGTGCCTCACACATGCTAGGTGTGCTCTCTACCTCTGAGCCACAACTCCAGCTCAAGTTATGTCTTTTTGATGTGATTATTTTAGTTATCTGCAATGTAATTGTATTTTATTTGAAATCTTTATAGTTCACATTCTGATTATAGAAGCACTGTAGTTTGTCTTTTTGAGAATGTTATATGTATGAACTAATACTTATATACTTGAATCTGGATTCTTTTAGCAAATCACCTTTGACATGTATCCAAGTTATTCTGTGTATGAATACTTCATTTTTATTCATTGCTGTATTTTGTGGATATTCCACAGTTTATTCTTTTACCTTTTAATTGGTATTTTTTATTCAGTTTTAAGCACTTACGAATAGATATGCTGTAAATATTCATGTACAGGTTTCTGTGCTTATTTCTCTGAGGTATATATATTTAGGAGTGGAGTTACTGGGTCATATGGAAAGTGTATATTTAACTTTATAAGAAGTTACCTCACTTCAGAATATCTGTACTATTTTGCCTTCCCCTTAGTAAGATATGAGAGTTCTAGTTATTCCACATATTCACCAACACTTAATATTGTCTTAGCCATTCTACTAGTTGTGTATCATTATTGCATTGTGATTTTAATTACATTGTGACTTTCTCTGATGGTTAATGATCAGATCTATCTTTTCCTTTGCTTATTTGCCATTTTTATATCTTCTTTGCTAAAGTGTTTATCCATATATTGTGTCCATTTTAAATTGGGTTGTGTTTTCTTTATACATGAATAACTAACTATCCAATACCATTTGTTTGGTTTGTTTTTGTACTTCCTTTTATTAGATTGATCTGTATGTCCCTTCAATATTTCCAAGCTATCTTAATTATTGTAGCTAGATAGTAGGTCTCAAAAATGGATAGTTTAATTCCTCAGTTTTTCCAGTGAAAATCATTTTATCTATTCTGGTTTCTTTGCCTTCCTGTGTATGCTTTAGAATAGCTTGCCTATATCTACAAAAAATTCATCTGGTATTTTGATTGGTGCTGAATTAAAATATAAATTTTTCATATCAGCATTTCATGTTTTTCTGCATACAGAGCTTAAGCATGTTTTGTTTAGACTTATTCCTAAGTATATTATGAATTCTTTTGGAGTTACTATAAGTTGTATTGTTATTAAATTTTGGTTTTCAGTGGCACATTGTTAGTGTAAGAAATGTGATTTTTGCATCTACATTGTATTTTTAGACTTTGCTAAACACACCAGAAGGGCGGCTGCTGCTGTTTCTGCTGCTGCTTCTTCTTCTTATTATTATTATTACTATTACTATTATTATTATTATTATTATTGGTAAATGGGGATCTTCCACTTAGACAATCATGTTGTATATGAATAGGATCAGTTTTCTTTCATGCTTTGTAATCTATATGCGTTGGCTGGTTTTTAGAACCGTGTTGATGAGTAGGAGTGGTTTGAATGGACACCACTGTCTTGGTCATAGGAAAGGCATTTTTAGAAATTCCCTTATGTTTTTAGTTTTGTGAAAGTTTTGTCACAAATGAATGTTGTATTTTCTTGTGCCTTTTCTGCATCAACTGATAACATTTTTCTTCTTCCTTAGACTGTTTGATTAGGTTGATGAATTTCCAAACATTGAAGGAGTTTTTCATTTCTGGGATAAATCCCACCTGTAAGTGGTATTTTTAATTCTTTTTATATTAATTTTATTTGTTAATATTTTATTGAGGATTTTTGCAATTATGTTCTTTTTTTGTACTGTATAATTCTGGAATTATAAAATGAGTTTGGAAGTTTTTCCTTCTCTTCTATTTTCAGGAAGAGATTATGTACAATAAGTGATATTTCTTTTAAAAATGTTTGGTAGAATTTAGCAGTGAAACTATTTGGCTTAGATATTATATGTTTGAAAGATTTTTTAACAGTGAATTCAATTTTATAACTTTATGTTATTTCACCTTAACACATGTTTTGATAGTTTGTAATTTTCAAGAAATTTTCCCATTTCATCTAAATTCTAGAATTTGTACCCATAGAATTGTTCATGGTGTTCCCATTATATTACTTTAATGTCCACTGGCCAGTAATTGCTATCCACTTTTTCATTCCTGGTATTGGTAATTTTGTTATCTCTTGTTTTCTGCCAGCATTGTGATAAGTGTATCAGTGTTATTGATTGTAAAACAACAGATAATTTTTGCTTTCTTTATATCTGTTTTCAATTTCACCTATTTATACTCATCCCTTTGATATTTTTTTTTTCATTTATTTGGGTTTATTTCACTGTTTTTTTTTTTTCCTGTGGTATCTTAAGATGAACCTTATACATTTCTTTTGAGAAGTTGAGCAAATCCCAAACAGGACAGTTCAAGGAAGTCCAGATTCAGGCTACTAATCCATATGTGCTGGCTGGTTTTTAGTGTCGTGTTGATGAGTAGGAGCGGTTTGAATGGTCACCACTGTCTTGGTCATAGGAAAGGCATTTTTAGAAATTCCCTTATGTTTTTAGTTTTGTGAAAGTTTTGTTACAAATAAATGTTGTATTTTCTCAAGTGCCTTTTCTGCATCTGATAACATTTTTCTTCTTCCTTAGAATGTTTGATTAGGTCGATGAATGATAAGCACACTTTCTACTACTGAGCTAAACCCTCAAACCTGTTCTTTTATTCTTGATTTTGCTAATTGGTGTCTTTTCTTTTTTATTCTTTGTCAGTATGGCTAGAATTTTAATTTTTATTGTTTTTTTTTTCTCCCAAAGAACTCCCTGTGGGCTTAATTGATTTTATCTGGGGTTCAACAGAATTTTTCTTCAAAGTCTGAGATTATAAATGTTTCAGCTTTTCCAGTCAATTGGCAAAATCAATGCTTTATTTAGAGATAAATCTTAAGCTAGTGTGGTGGCACATGCCTTTAATCTCAGTGGCTTGGGAGGCTGAGGCAGGAGGATTGCAAGTTCAAAGCCAGCTTCAACAAAAAAGGTGAAGTGCTAAGGAACTCATTGAGACCCTTGTCTCTAAAATAAAATATAAAATAGGGCTGAGGTTGTGACTCAGTGGTCGAGTCCCCATGCATTCAATCTCTGGTACAAAAAAATAAATAAATAAAAGAGAAATCTTTTATTGCCAAAATTTAAAATAAAATGATGAAGTACAGTTTGTTTCTAATATAGACACACCAAATGGAACAGTGGAATTCTTTTTGGAGAGATAACATTTCACCTAATTGAAGTTCATTAATATTATTAAAATTAACTGCAAAATTTCATCTGTTAATGCTGATATGTAATGAGATTTTATGTATTTTTTTGAAAATGACTTTTTAAAAAAAGGATTGTTTAGTTGTTGATAGATCTTTATTTTATTCATTTATTTATATGTGGTACTGAGAAATATTGCTGCCCAAAAGGTCCACATCCTAATCCCCAGAGCCTATGAATGTTACTTTACATTGTTTAGAGATTTGCAGATGTGATTAAGCTAAGGCCCTTGAGGTGGGTAGATTATCCTAGATTACCTGATTGGACTCAGTGTAACCACGAGGGTCCTTATAAGAGAAAAGCACACGGATCAAAGTTAAGGTGATGTGGTAATGGAAGCAGAGACCGGAGTGATGTGGCCATAAGCCAAGGCATCCCAGCTGCCTCTAGAAGATGGAAACAACGCAGGAATGGATTCTCAGAAGGAATAGGCCTGCCGACACCTCGACTAGCCCAGTAACTGATTTTGGACTTCTGACCTCCATAACTAAAAAAGAATAAAGTGTATTGTTTAAAACCATAAGGTTCTAGAAGTCTGTGCATCTCAGCCTTTTTCTGCTTCAACATCATACTTTGACCACAATCAATTTTAACACATTTTAGCAGATTATACTGCTTTGGGTTATACTGGATTGGTATTTTTTTCAACTTTGAAAATATTTCACCTGTAGTTCTTCTATGAAGACTGTTCCTAGAGGCTAATTATTGAGTCACTTCAAAGTTGGCATTGATAACAAATAAACAACAACTAAGCGATATCAGTAATGACTGGAATCATCAGGAGCCAAATGTAATTTATTGAAATTATTTTCCTTGTATTTTAAGGGACTATAATGTTGTTCTTGTTTTTCTTAATTCAGAGTTTTGTTCTTGCCTCAAGTCTAATAACTTTAAGCAAATTTATTTACCTAGACTCAATTGCTTTCCTGCTACAGTCAGACATGATTTGATGAGCTCATCAATGGTAAGATACTTTTCTTGCTTGGGTTAAAAATACAAGCTGTGTATATGAATAGCCAAATCTTACTTTGATTGCAGCTTTATTTACATCACTTGTTTTGTGAAGAAAGTCTGCTCTGATGAGATATTTCAAGTTGAATTTTCTAATTTTTCTGACCATTGCTTTAGTGTGAATTGAGAATATTTGTGATGGGTGCTTATTCTGACAGTGTTGACATATGTTGTGTTCTCTTAACATAGCTATATTCTCAGTGCATAATAAGCAAAAGGCTTTGCCATCTAATTCAATAACAATATTTCACCTCTATTGTCCCTTAACGAAGTCGGTTTTTGTGTTCTTATTTTTTGGGGCGGGGGCTACTGGAGATTGAACTCAGGGGCACTCAACCACTGAGCCATATGCCCAGCCCTATTTTGTATTTTATTTAGAGACAGGGTCTCACTGAGTTGCTTAGTGCCTCATGGTTGCTGAGGTTGGCTTTGAACTCTCGATCCTCCTGCCTCGTGAACCGCTGGGATTACAGGTATGTGCCACTGTGCCTGGCTCTTTTCTTCTTTGATGTGATGAAAATACACTGGTACATTGTGTACAACCAGAAACATGAAAAATTATGCTCTATTTGTGTACTCTGAATTGAAATGCATTCTGTTGTCATATATAACAAATTAGAATAAATAAATAAATTTTAAAAAAGAAACGGACTGGTAATTTTAAAATTAAAATATTATGCTACAGAAATAGATGTAACTCAAAATGTTGTTTAGTTAGCAACATTTAACCCAATTGAATCAGCCCAATGCTGGGTCCTATAGTTTGCATTGTGCTTAACAACAATACAAAGAAGTGCAGGTGGCACATGTGGCCTCTGCTGCAGCCACACGGCTCTGCTTCTGTGATGCAAGAGCAGCCTGAGGCAGTTCAGAAGCACTGAAATTTGAATATTATATAGTGACTCCATCATGAAACAATATTCTTTTGATTTTTCTTCAGACATTTAAAAATGTAAGCACAATTCTTAACTCACAGCTTGTGCAAAAACAAGCAGGGGGCTGGACTGGGCCCATGGGTCCTACTTTTGTCTAGTGTCTGATTTTGTCTAGTGTCTTTGTGTTTTCAATTTCATTGATTTCTGTTTTATGGTTATCATTTCCTTTTCTGCTTTTGGATTAATTACCTTTGATTTAAGATCTCTCTTCTAATTTATGCATCATTGGTGTACAGTGCTTTATAACATGTTTTAGCTGCATCTCATGCATTTTGATATGTCGCATCTTGGTTTTGATTCCATTCTAAATAATGCTCTAATTTCTTTTGTGACTAATTTCATTGGTTGCTTAAAAATATGCTGTTCATTTCCAAATGCTTGGATATTGTCCAGATATCTTTTTGTTGTTGATTTCTAGTTTAATTTTATTACATTTAGAGAAAATACTTTGAGTGATTTAGATTTATGAAAAATGCAATATCTGAAGAGCCAGATTCATTTGAGGGGTTCAGTAGCAGACTGAGATTACAGAGGAAGGAATCAGTGATCTTGAATATAGATAAATATGGTAATCTGAGCAGCAGAGGGAAAAATACAAAAAAAAAAAAAAAACAAAAAACAAAAACCAGAGCCTTAGGAATTTATGGAATCTGAGGTAATCTGAGCAGCAGAGGGAAAATACAAAAAAAAAAACAAAAACAAAAAAAACCCAAAAACCAGAGCCTTAGGAATTTATGGAATGAATCAAAAGTCTAATATTCATGTCATTGAAGTCTCAGAGGAGGGAGAAAGAAATATTTGTGTGGAAATACTGGCCCCAAACTGCTCAGATCTGGTGAATGATATAAAGCTCAGATTCAAGAAGCTCAATATTAAAAAAAAAAAAAAACTCATTGTAAATCACTTCTGGATGCGTCAGAATCAAACTCCTGACAAAGATAAGCAAGGATTCTTGAGTAGAGTTAGTGAAAGTGACATGTTATGTCTGGTAGAACGACGACTTAGATGTCTGCAGAGTTCTCTTGGGGAAGTACGGAGACCAGAGATGTTAGAACAACATTGTGAAGATGCTTTAAAGACGGAGCTGTCGATCTAGGCTTTATGAAAGGAGTTGTTTTTATAAGCAAAGAAAATTTCTTTCAGAGATGAAGGGGAAAAAATGTCACACCTGTGCTGAAAGAAGTGCTAAAGGAAGTTCTTTAGGCTGAACAGAAATGATACCACATGGAAGCTGAGAACTTCAGAAATGAAGAAGGAGCACCAGAAATAGTAAGGTTTTTTTGTTTTGTTTTGTAAATATGAAATGCTGTTTAATGCATCTTTGTGTCTTAAAAATATACATAACTGTTTAAGGTAGAAAATTATAACTTTCTTGGCTAGAGTTTTTATTGCCTGTAGAAGATTACACACGGCCGAAACATAAAGGGGAAGGGTGTAGGGAACTGCCTGGTGGCAAGACTTCTGCATTTACAGTAGCAGTAAAACAGTAACACAGAGTGCCCTGTGAAGAGTGGACATGGGCAGCGTTACCCCAGAGCAATCACTAGAGAATGACAAACAAAAACAGGAGGTCCAGCCTCAAGTTAAGAGCTAAATGAAAAAGAGTTAAATAGTAAAAAAAAAAAAAAAAAAAAAATTAACCCAAAAGAAGACAGAAAAAGAGTAATAGGGGAACAAAACCAGGGAGGACAAATGGGAAAAAAATAATAAAATGGTAAATGGAAATCTACCCATGTCAATAATTACATGAAATGCTAATAACACTGATTATACATCAGTTAAGAGAAATTATAGTTTAGGTAAAAAGTAAGAATCGAGTGTTTGCTGTCTAACAGAACCCTATTTTAGCTCTAAGGAAAGAGATAGGCTAACAATTTAAAAACATTTTTAAAGGGTGTGCCATAGAGGCCATGTTCACATCAGACACAGAGACTTCAGACCAAGACTGTTACCAGGGATGGCAAGCAACACGACACCAGGGCAGTCCACCGAGTAGATGTGACCGTCCTGCGTGTGTAATCACTAAGCCACAGTTACATGAAGAAACCAAATAGAACTGAAAGAAGAAACTGAGCAATCTGCAGTCATATGGGAAGATCTCAACACTCTTTTCTAGTGATGAGTTGAACAAGGAGACTGAAAAGCAGTAAGCATGCAGAACCTGGACTGACGCTAGCTCACCTCATTGACATTTCATCAAAAAACAACAGGATGCCCATTACTTTCCTGGGCCTCAGTGTTGATCATTTCTGTTGACCTGAGCTGACTGATGTTCCTGCTGCTTTTCTCTGATCCATCTCCCAGCTGCAGATTTGTAGGTATCAGGGACTGTGTCAAGTTCTCTGAGTGCTTAATGCCAAGCACCAGGATTGGTAGAGAGGAATTATTCAGTCCATGTTTTGGCTGGTGCAGCTTTTCAACAAGTAGTAGGAAATAGACCTTCAATTCAGGTCATGTTCAGATTTTCTGAAAAGGAGTGTGAGAAGAATAGACAACTTAAATTCTGCCCTTTATCTCTAATTGGTTTTGTTGGGATGTGGAAGCCACCATTTTTTTTTTTTTTTAACAGTGTTCAGAGGGTGATGTCTACTTGTTGGAAATTACTGACCTAAGATAAATAACCTAAGAAACAAATGAAGCCTAACGTGTGGGCTCTGTTTCTTCCACAGTGACAATAAAGGAGGATGGTACCAACAATAGCTAACTTTTACTTGGTGTTTGTTATAAACCATACCAACTTTCTAATGCTTTGATGCATTCAACTCATTTAGTCCTTTTAACAACTCTGCCTTTACTACATTTTACAGATAAAGAAATAGAGGCACTGAGAGGTTAATTAATTTGCAGAAATTGACTCTGCCTATTAGTGGCTGAATCAGGACTGAGCTCAGCAGCTTGGTTCTATAGCTTGGGATGTTGGCCAAGCCCTGTGCCTTCATAGGCTGGCAAGGTGGGCTGGCACAGTAAGCAGGCCACAGCCAAACCTGTTTCAAAACATCCTGGAGCAGGGGACATGGAAACTGAGTGTTCGAGGCCCTGAAGGCTCAGACTAGGGTAGGCATGTTATTACCCATGATTTCTTTCTTTATGTCTCTTCCCAGCTAAGAATGGTTTTACATTTAAAGGGTTTTAAAAAGAATAATCAGTATTCACAAGAAGACAGCATGTGACCCAAAAATTTTCACTCACTCTTCGCGCACTCGCGCGCGCGCACACACACACACACACACACACACACTGATCTTAGACCCTGATACCTAGAAAGTGCAAGAGGTTATAGGGGAGAGGGTTTGGAGAGAACAAGCAGAAGGCCATAGGAGGTTCCTCTGTGTGGCCTGCTGAAAATCTAGCCTTTATCCTCAAGGCAGCTGGCATACAGGCATGAGTTTTAACCAAGAAGGAACATACCCAGACTTTAACTGTATTTAATAGATGAACAAACGAGAACATTTTGTAGAGCTACCACTATTTAAATACTTATTTAAAAAGAATTGCCTTTTATTTGTGATTTTGGTGGTGTTGGGAATAGAACCTGGGCCCTCTCATACCTGGCACACACACTACCACTGAACTATGCTCTTGTCCTGCCTTTTATTTTTAATTCTAAGAATCTCCTGGGTAGTCGGTGAGTCATTGCTTGAGCTAATGAGGTTGGTTGAGTCTGGAAGCCTTCTTCATGCTGAGCGAGTGCTTGCAAAGGCATCTGCAGCACAGGTAAACTGCTGTTTTCTTAGTGACAGTTCCAAGAGCTTCTTAAAGTAGATAGATAGCTGGGAATCAGGAGTCCTGGGTCCCAGACCCTGCTCTGCTCCTGGCTTGTGTCCTCTGGCAGCTCCCTCCAGAGGCTACAGGCCCAGTGGTTAATTGCATGGGCCCAGCTTGCCAGCTGCCACCATTCATCCCGCAGTCTGTGGTTTGCAACTTTCTGTGAACTGTGGTCACCTGTGGGAATTTCATAAAAGCTCTTCTTCCACAGATCCTGATTTTTAAAACCAGGACTGTTACTTGGGCATTGGCATTATTTTCTTGGACTCACCACTGATTCCAGTGACCTGGCAGCTTGAGTGTCAGCGTCATAGGAATTGATAACACAGACTCTGAGCTCATAATCCTGGCTACTCTGTTGGCTAAATGGAGAAAGCAACTAAAAATCTTGATGCCTCGTGTTTTCCATGGTGAAGGGAGTCCCTGCATCTTGGGTGGCGTGAGGATTCATGAGGTAGTTTCTCCAAAGCACATGGCTTGGCTCTTTTCACCACTTTTTCTGATTCCTTTTTTGCCCCTGTGCCCTCTAACTCCTTGTTACAGGTCTTTGGCAAGCGCCTGTCTTTGAGGGCAGACACAATTCAGTCATCCTCCAGGGCTGAGATCAGGCCTCCTTTTCTCTACTGAGCCCATCCCTCCCTTTCCCTCCCGAAGTCTAGGTTTTGGGGCCCCTTCCATGTTCTAAAAGGACACCACACAGCCTGTCTTTTATCTAGGAACTGTATCACTTTTCAAAGGTGAATACTGGACATGTTAAAAAAAAACTCAATTCTTTCATTGCTGGTTGCACAGCCAGATTAATACTCGTCCTAGGTAGTTGTGTGTGCGTTCTGTGGACTCTACAGCAATGGCCTTGTAGGCAGGGACTCCCAAGGAGGTAGGTTACACCATCTAACTGAGCTGGTGACCTATGCTGGGTTCACAAACTCTGACTACTTCAATAACCACACAACACACAGAAGTACCTTTTCAAAATCCCAGGATGGTCCTTTCCATTGGAAAGAGAGAGAGCGCCACTGGAATTCTTTATTCTTATATAGGGGACACACTAGGGGAGGTTCCATGGAACATTCTATCCATAACAGGTCAGGGGTAGTATCACAAAGGAACAAGAAGGCAGCCCACTCCGTTGGGTAACACCCACTCCAAAGCTTTGCTCCTCTGCCGAGTGGAGATGGGGATCCACCTTCTTCCTGGTCAGGGAAGCCAGTCTCCACATTTCCATTGCTCAAAGCTGGTGGGTGCTCAGCTCCTATGTGGCAGCTCCTGACAGGTAGGACCCTACTGAAGTGCCTCCCTCCAGGTGGTACTAACAGGCTCTGCCTTACACAGTCCTTGCTTTTTTTTTTTTTTTTTTTTTTTTTTCCTCTTCTACAGATGGCCTTGAAGTTGCCTGAGAACAGTAAAAAAAGTAACAGATCTTGGGGAAGGACCCAGGAAATTAAACTTATGGTGTCTAAATTCACAAGCTGTGAGCTGCTTTGCACAGATGAGCACACCTTACCCCACAAACAGCCTTGCTAACCAGTTAGGGTTCTGATCAACAGTCAAAACAGGCAGAGTCACGTTTTTGGTGGTTGTTTAACATCAGAAGAATCATAGCACACAGTTTTCATTAATTTTTTGTTTCCATGAGAGAAAGGAATGTACATTGAACCTCTTCTGAATTTTGGAAGAACATTTATCAGCCACTATACATTTTTTCTAAGGGCAGTCTCAGTTTCTAACCAGTGATATTACTGGGGAAACAAATAAAATAAGAAGCCAGAGTTGGACATTCCAGAACTGAAGGGTGACTTTTCCTGGACAGAAAAATAATCTCTGCATCCAAATATCTTCCCAAATTTATTTACAGGCAGTTTTATAATGCAAAATGGTGTCTACTTCTTTAGCTGCAAGGAAATAAAGAATCTTGGAATAGTTAGAATAGCTTTCCGCTACCCCCACATGTAATCCTGACTATCCTATAATGTTGGCCCTCTAACCATTGCAGTTTTGCAGATGACAGAATCAAATCATGTGGAAGGTCACACTGCCCACCACTTACCAGATGTGTGTGGCTGCACGTGCTGGGGAAGGAGACCTTTCTGTAATTTGTACAAGGAAACATTTCCCTTTCTCTCGGAGCTGCTTTCATATTATCCTCTTCTGACTTCTCAGGTCTCTACCTTTCCCTAAAAAAAGGAGGAGAAAATGACCAAATTCCAGGTGAGTTGGTTTTCATTTCTGTCATTGGATATGTTGCCCTCATTTCTCAGAGAGAAGACATATCCCTTCTTAACCAAAATTAAAGAAAGACAACAGGAATTTAATACCATTTGTGTGTCAGGCTCTTGTGTACATTTTTGTCTTTTTGAAGAATTTCTTAGTTTTTAATTTGATTTATTATCATTTCTATTTCACAAATAATAGTGTAAAAGAGAATAGAAATTAAAAATCACACATTGTATTACCATACTTGAAAATCACCTGGTTTTTCTATTGGTCATTTAAGAACATGCTTTCCTAATTACATTTGCAATAACAGAAGTTTAAATAGTTTTTTCTTCTTAATAGTGGAAAAAAATTCAACTTAATAGTAGGGGCTGGGGTTGTGGCTCAGTGGTAGAGCATTTGCCTAGCATGTGTGAGGCACTGGGTTCAATCCTCAGCACCACATAAAAATAAATAAATAAACAAAGGTATTGTGTCCGTGTACAACTAAAAAGTATTAATAAATAAAATACCTAATAATGTCAGTGAACTCTTTTTATCCCACTCACTACCTTTTTCTTTAAATTATTTCTCACTACAAGCTTTTAAGTTCCTGAGGATTCTTGCAGTTTTACATTGTAATATCAATTTTCCTGGATATAATCTTTACTCCAAAAGCAATTCTGAGAGTTATTTTACTATTGTTTGTCTTTAATATTCTAGGGACTCAAAACTAAAAAAAAAAAAAAAACCTAAGCGGTACCTCAGGGACTTTTAAAAAGAATACTTAAAACACACTTTTTTCCCTAACAGGATCATATTGAAGCTAAACTTGAAAAAAAAATTAGATGTTTTCACATAAGAAGAACTAAGTTGTTTCACACCAGTACTTGAAGCTTTCTGTGCTTCATTATCATGTACTAATATATTGTGATTCCAAAACTTTAATGTTGTTATTCTACAACACAGCTATTTCTACTTTTTTGATGTTTATTTTGAAGAGACAATCAACAAAATTCCAGGAACTAAATATATATATATTTTGCAACACTGTTTATAATAGGTAATCTAAAACAAAGTGTGTATAAATTGATTCAGGTCACTATATTTTAAATCATCAGATCCTTGAATTACTATGCAGCCCTGAAATTTTTTGAAAGATGTGATGACAACATTGGTAGCAATAGCAGCATTTACTGGGCACTTCCTGTGTACCAGGCACTGCTTCTAAATGCTTTACATAGCCACTCATTTTATTACTGGGACCCTTTTGGTATAATTATCAGCATAAAAATGAGAGAAAAAACTTGTGGAAGACCACACAGCTAGCATAGGGTCAAGCATCCAGATGTGAACACAAGCAGTCAGTCTCCAGAGCTGTGCCCATAACCTCAGCAGCTATAAAAGCTACAGTTCAAGATGTGGCACAGAGGATGGGAACATACTTGAGCAATAAGCAATGATATCCTGTAAATTTGGTAAATTAGTGTAGCGTGCACACAGAAGTAGAGATACAGACACCACCCTACACTGTTGGAACTAAAGCTTTTCTGGTGCAAATGGCTTTATTAATAAAATTTAAAACATTAATAGCCCAGATGCAACAGAGTTCTGGGTACCTGTAGGAGTGCCAAGAAAAGGAAGTAATGTAAAGTATAAGGATTTTTTTTTCCCTCCAGCCCCTTTGGTTGATGGAACCAACATTATAGAAGGCAGACAGAGACAGCTACTGAAATTGGACTTGAGTACAACTATAAGGCACCAACCAAAAAACGTGAAAAAAAATTTGACTTGAATCCTTCAGAATCCAGAACAGCTCCCCACCATTTATACTTTATCAGTGCTGCCCCTCTCCCATAAACATAGTCTTTGTGTGTTTGGTATTCTAGGAAATGGTGACGTTCAAGGACGTGGCTGTGGTCTTCAGTGAGGAGGAGCTGGGGCTGCTGGACTCTGCTCAGAGGAAGCTGTACCGAGATGTGATGCTGGAGAACTTCAGGAACCTGCTCTCAGTGGGTGAGGACAGGCACCTGTGTATTGGCAGCCTCCTGGGTGTCTCTGTGGGCTCAGCAATTGGAAGCTTTGGGACTCCTGGAATCATTCTCTGTGCTTGGGTGCTTGAGAGTCAAAGTGTGTTTATTAACTTTTCATCACTGTAACCAAAATACCTGACAAGAACTACTCAAGAGAAGGAAAAGCTTATTTTGGCTTAGAGTTCCACAGGTCCAAGGTTGGCCAGTGCCATTGCTCTGGGTAAAGCAGAACTTCACTGTAAGAGTTGTAGCAGAGGAAAGCTGCTCACCTCAAGGAAGGCAGAAAGCAGAGAAAGTCTCTGCAAGGCTCCAGGGACAAAATCTGAACTCCTTAAGCATGTCCCCAGGGACCTCTTTCTCTAGCCACCCCCCACCTGGCTACAGTTCCCACCCAGTTAGTCCCTTTATTATTAATCCATCCCTGGTTATCTCACTGATGAAGTTATAGCTCTTGTACTCTGACTACTCCTGCATTCACACAGGAGCTTTTGGGAGACACTTCATACCCAAACCATAAGAGCTAGCAATCTCTGTAGAACAGACACAGTGTTTCTCATGGTCCCCTCCAAGCAAAAGTCTGTCTTTTGATCTGTACATGGGCAAATTTGGGTCCTGCTCCACTAGGACCCCAATCAATTTAGTAAGTCATTTCAGTTTTTACTTTTGTTGTTGTTTTTTAGGACACCAGTAATTATTTATTTATTAACTTGGTTTGTGGGGAGTATTTTTTTATTTAACAGTGTATTTGTAAATAACTTCAGGTTTGTGGGAAATTTGCACAAGTCAAAGAATAAGAACACTCATATAACTTTTATCTAGATTGACATTTTACCTCATTAGCTTCAAAATTTGTGCTCATGTTCTTTCTTTTTCCATTATATAAACATAAATGAAAATATATTAATGTTTATAATATCTTTTCTGAACCACCTGAAGATAATTTACATATGCCATGGCCCTTTTTCTCTAAATATTTCAGTGTATATGCAGAGTTTGAGAATTCCTAAGATCACCTTCACTTCTGATACTAGCTGCTAATTTGGAGGTCCTCGAGACAGATCTCCTCCAGACCCCATAATTCACTGAAGGACTCTCAGAACTCACTGAACGCTGTTATCATCACAGTTTTTGATTTATTATACAGAAAGGAAACCGATTGAAATCAACCAAAGAAAGATGCTTACAGGGCACAGTCCAGGAGTGTTTCAAGCTTGAAGCTTCTGGTTGTCTCCCTGTGGAGCTGTGCACAGTGTTGACTCTTCCCAGAAGTGCTGAGTATCAGGGTGCATGGGTTGTCGCAAGCAAGAAGGCTTGTTGGAGCCTTGTCATCAAGAAGTTTTATTGGGGTTCAGTCATGTTATATATGGCTGACCATGGGATTCCAACCCTTCCAGAGGCTAAGCTGATAACATGAGGCCCGAAGCCCAAACCATAAATTACATTGTTTAATGTCTGGCATGGCCCAGGGCATCTGGCTGAACAAGAGACTTTTCTCAGGTTGGAAATTCCAAGTATTTAGATCCTCCCAGGAGCCAAGTGCAAAGGTCAGACCTCTCTTTGGAGAAGATGAATCCTTTACTGGATTCTGCCTGTAGAATTCTACTTTTAGAAATAGGAATATTCTCTCACATATCCCTAGTACAGATGTACAACTTTGATCTAATCTATCACGTATGCTCTAATTTTATCCATAAAGCTGATTGTGATCCGCAGATGTATTTTTCTCCCTCCAGACCAGGGTCTAGTCTGAGTCTTACCTAGTCATCATGTCTCTTTAGCCTTTTTAAACTTGGAACATTTTCACAGCATTTCTCTTTTATGGCAGTGACATTTTTGAAAAATACATTTACCCCTCCCCTTTTAAAAACAGACCATTCCCAAATTTTCCTCATAATTAGATTTACATGTTCCATTCAGTCAGGAACACTATATATAGATGGAGTGTGTTCTTTTGAAGGTGTTGTATCTGGAGGCATATAATATTCTCTCACAAATGAAGCTCATTTTGATTCTGTTGGTCAGCACAAGTAATTCCCTATGGATTTATCATCCAGTGATGAGTCTTGCCTTATCTTTACCATGGTGGTTACACAATGATGATTTCTCTGACTTTAGTATTTCCTTTACATTTAACAGATTTGGTATTCTGCAGTAAGAGCCTCCTCCCAGCTTTAATTTATTTGTTATTTGTAAGGGTTTTTGAATTTTTAAATAATTTATAATTTATTGTTAAAATTACTTTGTTGTCATTGTTCCAAATTTGGCTCCTTTAGACTGACTCCTGTACCTCCGTAACATGCCCTAATACTATTTTTAGCACTTCTTTTATGGCACAGCCTGATGTCCTGTGATCATTTTTGCTTTGCCCCAGCTATGGAGGCATCCATACCCTTTTGGGGAAATCATATTTAACTCCAAGACCTGGATGTTGCATATGGTCATCCACCACTGAGGTATCTTTGTTTCTTGGTCTCAGGGCAGAGCTAGGAAGTGTGTGCACACACATGTATGTACATATACACATAGACATATACTTACATATACACAAACATACATATAAGTATGTATACAGGTGAATAGATGTTCAGTTTCATTCAAAATAAAATAAATGTTAGTTAAAGTTATACTTACATATAATTTCTCATCCATGAGATTGGTGAAAATTTTAAAGCTATACTTTTTTTTTTCTTGTATACCTATGGGAAATAAAGCACTCTTATTCATTGAAAGTAAGAATGCAAAATCATGTTATCCCTAATGAGAGCAACCCCAGACAACGTCTAACAAAACTCTGTACTTACCTTTCCCAGCAGTCTATTTCCATCTATATTTTTTCCATAAATATAACCAAGTGCAAAAGAGCATTAACAGTACATTGCAATTTGTGTAAGAAAGAGGAACCCAGGTAAAGGTTATGTGTATCTGCTTATCTTTATAAGAAGAAACACAGGAGGGAAGGATTAGTGAAAAAGAGGGAGCCATACTTGAGTATACCTTTTAATCCACAGGAGGGAAGGATTAGTGAAAAAGAGGGAGCCATACTTGAGTATACCTTTTAATCTAGTTTTAACAAAATAGACGTCATCAAACTTAAATATTTTGCCCTCCTTGTCTTTCTTATAGCACATCAGCCCTTCAAACCAGACCTGATAGCCCAGTTGGAGAGAGAAGAAAAGCTTTTAATAGTGGAGGCAAAAATCCAAAGAGATGGATATTCAGGTGAGACTTGTTCAACAGGGACTAGTAGCCAGTGAGCCCCTCTGGAACACAAGGCAGGAAATGTCAGTTCTGTGCTTCAACTCTTCAGTGGTCCCCATTTCAGAGATAGTAGATTTAAAGCACTTACAGTGGCCCACTAGGACCTATAGTATCTGCCTTTTACCCCCTTGGTTTTGACCATTCTTGTCAGTTTTAGCTACATCACCCTAATGCTTCCCACCAGACCTATAATCTGTTTCTCCATCAGGTTCTGTGACTTACTTTTCTTGCTGTCTTAATGTATAAATTAATTAATAGATGCATGGTCCTTGCTGTCTTCAGTCTACCCTGGGACAGCTAATAGATATAGAGTAAATCAGGATAATTGAAGAATACTCTAGAGTGTTGATTGTATCTGATAACTACATTATTGGGGGGAAGAAGGCCAGCATCTCATTAAGGGGTCCTTCTTCCTGCCCAGGATAATCCAAGCCACCCTAAGACTTACAATCTGAAATAATTAGTAAATAACAAAGCACAGATACTCAGAAATATTTACAGAAAGTGAAGCCTCTGATAGGTCTAGTCCACATGGGTTCTGGAACTAGATGAAAGACAAAATGGCTCATTTAAGGGGGTACATCAAAGGCAGGGATAAGGTTTTATGGGTGGAGTCTTGCTTTGTGATGTCTTGCAGTCAGCAGGTTGACATCTTGGCAGGTCACACCCATCTCAGGTGCTGTGTGGGCCACAGCAGAGCAGGAAAGAGATTCACATTGTCCCTGGGCAGTTGACCAGAGGAAATGACCATTGGTCATTCCCAGACACCAGATGTCTCTATCCATGAAGCTTCCATGTGTGGTGACCCACATGCAACCCATGGACGGCTCCTGACACTGCATGTCCTGTTTAGCTGTCTTTGGGTATTCATAAATAGGTAACCATTATTCCTAGAAGACAAGAATAGCCAATCAACTAAAGTAAGTACCAAAATGATCAGTGCCAACATTGTACTTGACCTTTCTCATGCAGCAATTTCAAGTGAGACACTCTTGAGTTCATATGCCCATTCTGTTCTCTTCTCTCGCCTAAACAGTCTCTTCCACATAACATCAGTCTTGAGGTAGAATTTTAAAGTTGGACATTTACATGAGTTCAAACATTTAATGTTTCTTGAATCCTTGAGACTAACATTAAAAGCCACTGTCACAACTGTGTAGTAATGGATTCTCCTGGGTAGAAAAAAAAGAAAATTTAAAAATGAATTTATTCATTTCTATAATTTTTGTTTCCATGTCAGTTAAGGTTCAGGGTCACACATGGTGCAGTGCCTTCTTGAGAGCAGGGTTTGACAAATATTTTCTCCAGAGGTCCAGATAGTAAATATTAGGCTTTGCTGGTCACATATAATCTGTGTGGCATATTATTTGCTTTTTTACATTATTTAAAAAACAAGAACTAGCCAGGTGCAGTGGCATTGTCTGAGTCTTCGCACTTAGGAGGCTGAGGCAGGAGGATCACTTGAATCCAGGAATTCAAGAGTAGCCTGGGCAGCACAGTGAGACAGTCTCAAAAAGAAGGAATGAAGAAAGGAAAGAAGGGAGGTGTTTTAGTCAGTGTTTTTGTCACTGTGAACAGTTTATTTGGGACTCATGGTTTCAGAACTCTCAGTCCGTAGATGGTCATCTCCATTGCTTTGGGCTCAAGGTAAGGCAGAACACCATGGCAGAAGGTGTGGAGGAGGAAGACAACTCAGGACATGACAATCAGGAAGCAGAGAAACTCTACTCACCAGGAGTGCCCAAAGGCATGCTCCCAATGACCCACCTCCTACAGCCACACCGTGCCTGGCCAGGTTACCACTCAGTTAACCCCTATAAGTGGATTAATGCACTGATTAGGTTATGAGTCTCATAACCCTCTCACTTCACCTCTGAGCCTTCTAGTGTTGTCTCACATGTGAGTTTTGGGGGATACCTTTTATCTAAACCATAACAGGAAGTAAGAAGGGAGAGAAAGTAATGAGCTCAGAAAAAAATGATACAGTATGAAGTATCATTACTCCATCAGGAGGCATGTTGGGAGATTTTTCTCTCTGCTCAACTATGGACAGAAACTTCTACATGCTTATTACCAGGATCAACTTGGATGTGCACAGGCCTCTGTACACACATATTCTGATAGCCCTTCTGGTATCCTGAGGGAGCCTGAGGCTGCTACCATTTGGGCACCTTTTAGGAACCCAGCAGAGGAACTTCCTATTCAGTTAGGACCAAAGCATTTTCGGCCACATGTATGAAGGTCTTTCAGCATCGAAGCCTTTTAAATTGTGGATGGACAGAATGCCTTTATTTGTTTATTTTTATGTGGTGCTAAGGATCAAACCCAGTGCCTGACACATGCTAGGCAAGTGCTCTGCCACTGAGCCATAGCCCCAGCCCCAGCATTGAAGCTTTTTGAGCTTGGATAACACTAATCCATTTTTCATAGATGCCATGAGACAGATTTCTCCTGTCCCACAGATTCTTTCTTCTAGTCTGTTCTCCTTATCTTTCCAAGCAAAAAGAGGAACAGGGAAGTAGAAAATATAACCTCTAAGAATTCCTCATCTTTGATTCTGCATCTGTTAGCATCTTTTATCTGGTATGGAACAAAGGACCTTTCCATTTCTATCAGATAATTGTCATCAATTGTTGTCTTCATTAATTTTAATTCCTTTATTACTTAATTCAAATGTAAAATACACCATGTTAACAGTTGCTGCAATTTTAATTTTATATGTTAACCTTAACTCATTTTTTCGAAAGTTAAAGTTTAGTTATTTTATTTTTTATTTTGTGGTACTAGGAATGGAACCCAGGGCCTTGCACTTTTAAGGCAAGTACTGTACCACTGAACTACATCCCCAGCCCTTCACTTTAACTTTAACTCAACCTTTCATAAATATTTTGTGATGTCTTAGATACGTCACTCAGATGTTGACCTAGCATTAATAATTCTTTGACATAATTTCCTTTTTAATAAAAAATGCTCTTCATTTGCATTAACTAAATTCAAATAGAAAGAAGTTATGGATGAAATGGCATGTTGCTAATGAAATATGATAAATCTGTTAAATTACATGTTTGAACAGTTTTTCTTATAATTTGTTGTGCCTTTTGCGATCATCTGCATTGACAGTGGTTCTGACATCTAATCCCTGGCTGTGGTAGGCAGGCCAAATTTGTTATAATATCAAGGGAGTCTGTTTTCTGCACTTCACTCTCTCTGCTTCTCCCCATACAAGCCTGTTCTTGTTTTAAATATTATATATTTCTCTCTGTGGACTGTCAAAACTGGAAAGTTACATGTTGGAACCATTGTTAATGTCGATGATTGGGAAGATAGAACTTGCTCAGTTCTGTCTGCATAGAGGGCAAGAAGTGGAGGGAGCCCAGAGTCTTGCCGTTAAATACACTCAGGTAGAGAGGTAGAGGTGAGCCTGGTGTGGTTGAGCATAGCCAGCACAGCAGCTTCAGGGCTGCTCTGTGGTCACACATCATTGCTGTGCCTTGTACTTGCCCACAGAATGCCTTAGTTCCTCTTGCTATCTGAAGGTGTCATCAGAATGTGGGGTGATATCCGGCTGGTTGTCCATGCTGATGTTTTTGAGTAGCTTCTAATAGAAGTGAAAAAGAAAACATAACCAAAATTTGTTTCTTTCAGTTCATTATGGCTATCATATTTAAAGGAATTGTTTGTATTTATTTATGATAGAATTGCTTTGTTATTGAATTGATTGACTTAAGATGCTGGAATGATTGGCTTTTTCAAACTTAAGTGCAAAAGCAGAATTACTATGAAATAAATTCTCAACCATTTTACCTCAGATGAGGTCTTTCAGTGCTCTCTTGAACTTATTTTCTCCATCAAATAAAGTTCATTTATAAAGTTAGCATAGTTTCTCATCAGCACCCTACCATTGATAAAATAGAACCTAAAATGTTGAGACATGGAAAGAAAGTGACAAAGTGCTTTTGTCTGCACTGCTGGTCAGAGGAAATTCAAGTTAGTTTTGTTGAAGGTTTGGTGTTTTCCATGAGCAGTGAATGAAAGCACCTTTTTTTCTTTTTTCTCTTTTTTGAGGGTGGGGGGAATGCCAGTTATTGAATCCAGGGGCTCTTGACCACTGAGCCACATCCCCAGCCCTATTTTGTATTTTATTTAGAGACAGGGTCTCATCGAGTTTCTTAGTACCTTGCTCTTTTGCTGAAACTGGCTTTGAACTCACCATTCTCCTGCCTCAGCCCCCCGAGCCACTGGGATTACAGGCCTGCACCATTGTGCCCAGCCCCTTCCTCTTTTTTTTTTTTTTTTTGAGAGAGAGAGAGAATTTTAATGTTTATTTTTTAGTTTTCAGTGGACACAACATCTTTGTTTGTATGTGGTGCTGAGGATCAAACCCGGGCTGCATGCATGCCAGGCGAGCGCGCTACCGCTTGAGCCACATCCCCAGCCCCCTTCCTCTTTTTAACATTGTAAAAACCACTGATTAAAAAGAAACTTTAATCTCTTATATTTTCTGAGAGATTATTGTCATAAACTATGTAGTAATTTGCATTGAAATAGATGCTTTGTAAGACATTAGACTGTTGAGCTGCTTTTATGTTCTAAGACATGTCATTCCCAAAAGACTTGACATATTGAGCTATACCTTTATAGGTATATAGTGGGTATTTTTGATGACATTGAAACTAAGCTGTAAGCATTAGATTAACTTTATCTAGAAACCCAAATTTCTCTATATTATAGAATTTTATTGTTAGGAGCTAAAATCTTTTTTAAAAAAATATTTATTTTTTAGGTGTAGATGGACACAACACAATGCCTTTATTTTTATGTGGTGCTGAGGATCAAACCCGGGTCCCGCCTGTGCCAGGCGAGTGCTCTACTACTGAGCCACAATCCCAGCCCCAGGAGCTAAAATCTTAATGTAACAACTGAAAGCTTTGCATTTGAGAAGGCAGAGGCATCAATAACCAACTTTTAAAAGTACCCAGATGAGTAGTTAGCAGATGCCTTGAAGTGTTTTCCCACAGTCGGTGTATTCCCCCAGAGCCTATGGCATAGGGCCATTATGGGGCCCTTTCTTTATTCCTGTTTTTTGTTTTTTTTTTTAATGTGGGGATAGGGTAGGTCTAACAGGTGAAATTTTGCTCAAGAAAAAATACACTATTTTAAAAGTAACTCTAAAAATTAAAGACGCAATTCATAGTTCCTACCTTTGGATCTTTTATGGGTCATTTGCTTCCATTTCATCCACAAGAGATTCTTGTGACCTTTGCTTTTCTCTCGAGAAGCATCACCCTGAGTGTAGCCCTATCTCTCCTATAAACTTTGAACTGCCTGCAAAATTGCCATCACTAGGTTTTTTCCCAGTAAAATAATTTATATGTACATGCCCTTTTTTGTTAGATGAGTGAGAATACACAAGGCAGTATTTATTGAGCAACCACTATTCACTAGGCCATATTGTAGGGGCAGTGAAGATAATTCGAGGCAGACTACTAAGTATTTGTCCTTGTGGATAATATATTCCAGCATGGAAAGACAGACAAATAAATAAGGAAGAATTACTGTGGATGCAGGCAATATTCATATTTATACCTTTTTTTCTGAATAACCTGGAGAAGTTAGTGTGCTTCCAAGTACAGTATTAATTCAACCCTGCTTAACCAGTTTTGGTTAGGATACTTCTCCCTGGAACATGAAGATCTGCTGATTGCTTATAATCCAGTATTTAATAACTAGATAGCAGGTCATTTCTACCCAAATATGCCTGTCTTCAAACTCTTCCTGGTGCCTCAAGACTCCCTAAACATTAGGATCTTATTCCAGTAAATTGATGCAAACCAAAGTTGATGTTTGTTAGGTTTTATTCCTGGCTGATGAGATGCCTAGGAAAACACCTTTCAAGTTCCCTGAGACTTGGCTGTGCTTGCCTCCTGCACCTCTTTTTTTCTTGATGTCTTGAGTTGAATCCTCTAAGAGTTTTTCATATTCTGATCTGCACCATGGCCCTTAGTAATTGTGAAATGTCTTTTGAAAGGATTTAGAGATGATAATGACTTACAGTGACTTAGAGATGGGCCATATGATATCTCAAGCATAGATCAAAGATCTGTCAACCACCTTGGGCATAACATTTAACATCCAATCTCCTTATAAACAAACAGAAACATTACAATGATGATATGCCTGAGAAAGAAAGAAAGTTATTATCAGAACAAAAAGCACTTGTCCATTTGCAGCCATATTCTTTCCAATTTGAGAATATCCCCTTCTCTTTCATCCTTTGGCTGTCCAGGAAACCCATGGTAAACCCATGATAGCATGCTTATGGTTACTAGGCTTTTTAAACAGGACCACCATTTGCTGATCAGGTTGTGTTAAAGCCCTGATTTTCAGGTGTATAAATAATCTGAATATTGTGGATTCTATTTACATATCTAATGTAACCTAAAAGGAGGCATTTTCTAAGTATTCTTAGAAGTAGTGACATGAATTTTTTTCCTGATTCATTCAAGGTATGTTATGACCTAAGAATAAAGTATTGAAATCTCTGAATAAAGCATTCACTTGTACACCTGCCTGAATTCTCTTTATCCTTATAGGAAGCAGCAGTCAACTCAAGACAGAGAATGTTCAAGAAGTGGGATTAAGCTACTTTTCCCCCAAAGAGCTTTCTTCCTGTCAGACTTGGCAACAAGGTGCAGGCAGGTTAACCAGGGATCAGGATTCTATGAAAAACTTTCAGTGTGACAAGAATTTCCAGTTGCAAAAACAAGGTGATTTTCTCTACCAGATTTGGACAGAAATGCCAATTCAGATTTCTGAAGATGGGAACTACATATTGACTCGTCATGTAGGGGATAATTCAAATTATGTAAAAAATCAAGAATTTCCATCTTTGAGAGACCAGCAGTATTGGAGGAAAATGTATCTGACAGAGTCACATAATTATCAATGTAAATGTCAACAAATTTCCACAAAAAATAATTCCTGTAGGTGTGACAGTGTCATATGGATCTCACATCACAATGATAATCTGAAAGTACACAGAAGTGGAAAAGGTGGCAGTTGTCATGACTGTGGAGAAGATACCATGAAGGCATCATTAGTTCATCAGGACTCAGTTCAAACAGGGCAGAAGCTCTGCCCATGTACTGAGTATAGAAAAGCCTTCAGCAGTGACTGCAATTCTCAAGTTAATCAGCAGTTCCACTTAGAAGGGAAGCCCTGCACATATAGTCCATGTGGAAAAGGCTGTAGCTATAGGTCAATTCTTCATCTACATCCAAGTGTTCAGAGGGGAGATAAAGATGTTGGTGAGAGTTCACATCTGCAATCTCATCAGAAAGAGTGTACAGAGAAACTATGCAAATGTTCTGGATATAGAAAGAATTTTAATAATTTCTCTTCTGTAAACACCTTTGAACTTAACCACACAGGAGAAACATCCGGGAGGTACAACCTTTATAAGAAATCCTTCAGTTATAGCTTAGACCTTAAAAGCATTTTTAGGGTCCATACTAGGGAGGAACCCCATGATTGTGAGAAGAATGGGAATATTTTAAACCAGAGTTCATGTCTTCAAGCTCATCAGAAAATGCAACCTGCAGAGAAACTATACACAGGTGTGAAATATGGGAAAGATTCCATTTGTAGTTCAGATCTTAGCGTTGAACATAGAGTTCACATGGAAGAGCATCCCTATAATTCTAAGGAATGCAATAATGACTTCAGTCTGGCTTCACATTATCAGGACTTTCAGGTGGTCTATCCTAGGCAACAGCCATATAAACACTATGTATGCAGTAGCAACTTCAGTCACAACTCACATGTTCAAGGCCATCAGAAAATTCACATTGGAGAAAAACCTTATAAGGATTGTGGAAATGGCTTCAACTGGAGTTCAAAACTCAAAGATCATCAGAGAGTCCACACTGGACAAAAGCCGTACAAATGCAATGTGTGTGGCAAAGCCTTCAGTCATAGATCCGTTCTCAATGTTCATCAGAGAGTCCACACAGGAGAGAAACCTTATAAATGTGAGGAGTGTGATAAGGGCTTTAGTCGGAGTTCATACCTTCAAGCCCATCAGAGAGTCCACTCTGGAGAAAAACCATACAAATGTGAGGAGTGCGGGAAGGGCTTCAGTCGGAACTCCTACCTTCAAGGCCATCAGAGAGTTCACACTGGAGAGAAGCCATATAAGTGTGAGGAGTGTGGGAAGGGCTTCAGTCGGAGTTCACACCTTCAAGGCCACCAGAGAGTTCACACTGGAGAAAAACCATTCAAATGTGAGGAGTGTGGGAAGGGGTTCAGTTGGAGTTTTAATCTTCAAATTCATCAGCGGGTTCACACAGGAGAAAAACCCTACAAGTGTGGAGAATGTGGTAAAGGCTTCAGTAAGGCCTCAACTCTTCTGGCCCACCAGAGAGTCCACACAGGAGAGAAACCATACCAGTGTGATGAGTGTGGGAAGAGCTTCAGTCAGAGAGCATACCTTCAAAGTCATCAGAGTGTCCACTCTGGGGAGAGACCATATATATGTGAGTTATGTGGGAAGGGCTTCAGTCAGAGAGCATATCTACAAGGTCATCAGAGAGTCCACACAAGAGTGAAACCATATAAATGTGAGATGTGTGGAAAGGGCTTTAGTCAGAGTTCACGCCTTGAAGCACATCGGAGGGTCCATACAGGAGGGAAACCATACAAATGCGAGATGTGCACGAAGGGCTTTAGTGAGAGCTCACGCCTTCAAGCACATCAGAGGATCCATACGGAAGGGAGACCCTACAAATGTGAACAGTGTGGTAAAGGTTTCAGTGGGTTTTCAAGTCTTCAAGCCCATCACAGAGTCCACACTGGGGAGAAGCCATACAAATGTGAGGTGTGTGGAAAGGGCTTCAGCCAGAGATCAAACCTCCAGGCTCATCAGAGAGTACACACAGGAGAAAAGCCGTACAAATGTGATGCATGTGGTAAGGGTTTTCGTTGGAGCTCAGGTCTTTTAATTCATCAGAGAGTCCATAGTGGTGACAAATTCTATAGAAGTGAAGAATTTGATAAGGATTATCCTGCTGCAGAAAATCTACACAGAAATGAAGGTTTGTAAAATTTCTGGTTTGTATTGAAGTCCTCAAAGGGGAGATGAAATCTCCTAGTCATTAGAGTTCTTTTAGTGGGCAGAAAAGCTTTTTACAGTGAAAATGTAATTTCCCCCCAATATCAACATTTATGATGGTTAGGAGATCAGACAGCAAAGACCTCCAACAATAGGGGCTACTAACAGATTTTGTCAAAAATTTTAAAAATCATTGAACCAGAAGCGAGGGCTTACAAAATATGAGAGTGTGGTCAGGAATTTAACAGAAGTATAATGGTCATCATGCCTGACTCCATGCCCAGTAAGATGTAAACCCCATGAAAGAAGGGAATTTGCTCATTGCTGAGTCTACAAAATCATGACATTTCACAACTTGGAGTAGGTGCTCAGGATTTTATGCTAAGTGAGTAAAAGTATATAAATATACATAATATTTGAAAATTTTATGAAGCTCATTTCAAAAACTTTCGTTTAAAAATGGAATTGGAAGAATAATTCTATAACTAATCTTAGTATCACTTCAAGTAAATATTTGAAATATAGAATATCAGACAATATTGCAATTTGAATTAATTTGAATTTGGTTGTAGCCCTTTTAGGACTGGTTCCCATATTTCATCCTCTTAAATGGGGGTATGCAGAATTTCTTAATAGTTGTTCTCTTTCTATACAGCATACTCAATTTCCGTTTAGCACCCTCTCCCTGTCTCCCCTCCTCCTACTCCTTCTTCTGCCCCCTTTCCCTGTGTGTGTGTGTGTACACAAGTGTGCACTTTAAATGACAATACAAACTGATAAATTGTTTCTGGTTAACTTTGCAAAAACAGAATGCTGCATTTTACATAATTGAATTCTTACTTCTGCCCTATGTTAAGGCAGAATTTTACTGTAACATTTGGAAAGTGTCAGTAGTGATTACTGATGACAAATACATTTAAATAAATGTCAGAGTTATAATGGCTTTTTTTTTTTTAAACTCTCCATATTTCCATTAAAGTCCATTTGATCTGACTGATTTTTAAGTGTTGGTGTTGTCTCTAATCCAGACCTTTGTAGGCAGGATGTGTGGCAAGCTTGAAGAACTTTTAAGTTCTCTGTACTCACACTTTCCCGACTTGCACAAAGGGGAAAATCTTGAATTTTTCAAAGCATTTAACCAGTTGACTCTTAGGACAGTATTGCCATTTACTTGCTGATCTCAGTTTTCCAGAATAATGCATTTTGTTGGTGGGAGTGAAAAATACAAGTTTCTCATCCAATACATATCAAACTCTTGTGTATATAGTCATGTATCACCTAAGAACAGAGACACATTCTGAGAAATGTAGGGCAATTTCATTGTGTGAACATCATAGCATGTACTTAACACAAACCAAGATGTCTACAACATCGCCCAGCAATATAATCTTATAGGACTTTCTTCATATGTGCACTCCATTGTTGATTGAAATGTTGTGAGTTACATAACTATATCAAAATGCAAAATGTGCATACTCATCTGGAAATAATAGGATAATAATTTATGATTAATTTTAACAGTGATGGAGGATTTACATTGATGGTAATTTTAAAATGCAATACTTATTCATCAATAGGAATTTGGATAACTTTCTTTATATTCCTTTACTGTGGAGCTACAAAAAGTACTAAATGCATCAAAAACAACAGCACACTATCAATGAATATTGTTTATTGAAAATGTATGTTATGCCTTCATAATATCTAGTTAATTTAATTTTATATAGATATGTGTTCAAATACATGCTTATAGATAATATTTGAAAGATTATTCATCATTATGTATATAGCAGTTTCCTTAGCAAGAAAAATCTTAGTTCTCTCTCTTTTTTTTTGCAGTTCATTTTTAAAAAGTACAATGGACATTTACCAGTTTTATTAAATTAATAATCAACTACTGAGATATTAATCCTCTATTTAAGAACTTGTGATACAATTGCTCTATTTTATTCTTTGACAGTATGGCCTAAATGTAAGAATAAAACCCCTGAGTTTAATTTTCAAATTTTGGGGGTTTTTGAGGATACAGATTAATTAGATGCTTAGATGCAACAACTTTATATTTCTGTGAGATTTCTTTAGGTCTCAGTGTTGCCTAGGATGTCCACATGTCAGTAGAGTAAGCTGATGCATCACATTTTGGGGGGTCATATTTCCCTCTGCTGGATGAAAAGGGTGACAAAGGCACTAGTTTGAACTGATCTCTGAGATGCTGGCTCAAGAATTACAGTGTCATCAGAAATCCAGGGCTTCTAATGCATTTCTTATCACTTCTAAGGAAAAATCATGAGAACTCATGGTGGTTTTATTAATAAGAAGGCTTTTAAATCTTAGTAACAGGAAATTCAGGGTTACTTAAACCAAAAGTATTTTTGTTTAAATAAATGAAAAGATACAGATAGATTAAACCTGAGTCTTGTGATTGCTCACAACATGATAGCATTCCAGCTTTCTTTGTTCACAACCAAGGAAAGAGCTTCAGTCTTATTTTAGTGGTATGTAGTTTTGCTCCTCAAAGTGCATAGGATTCCTGTTGTTTTTATTTAGTCTCAGTTTTTAGGACACCCTGGACTGTTCTGCTCCTGGTGACAGGTAACAGCGGGCTACACAGGGAAAGGGGAAGAATGTGGACAAAGAAGAATTCTCTAGCACAAGTGTACAGGATGGCCAAAAGCTGAAGCACAGCATAAATATTGGGGAAAGTCTTCCAGCACTCCAACCCCCACCCTAAACACACAGCCATACCAGAGAAGTTTGAAGCCAGTGGTACACTGAAGATAACTATTGAGAAAAAGAAAGAAAGAAAAAAATTCAATTCCAGCTTTCTTCCTATCCAGAGCAATCCAACATTCTAACAAATCCTAGCAAAACAACCCAAGTTCCAGGCAAAAATATTCTTTTCTTCAGTCTCTACTATTCTATATATGTTATCTGGCATTTGAATAAAAAATGAGAAAAAACCCTCCACTAAGAGCAGACCAGTCAACATCACAGAGTTGACCATATTTTGGAGCTATCAAGGAATTTTACATAACTGATTCTTATGTGAAATAAGCAGACAGTATGCATGAGAAGATGGGGATTTCAGTGGAAGTTAATAAAGAATCCAATGGGAAATGCTAGAAAAGAAAATTTATAATGAATACTTCTGAAGGACTTATGAGTAGGCTTAAAAGAGCTGAGAAAAGTGTCAGAAAACTTGAATGTGGGTCAATAAAAATACCCAATCTAAAACACAATAGCAAAAAGTGTGAAGAAAACAAGAACAACCAATAATTGAAAATATTGTAATATCTAATGTTTTTATGATTTTAAACCCAGGGTGGAGGGAAAATAGATATTTGAAGAGATAATGGCTGATAATTTTATAAAAATAAAGACCTCACCTAGATCCAAGAAACTCAGAATATCAAAGCGGGATTTAAAACAAACAAAACTGAAAATCACAGGTACTTTATTGCCACACAACTAAAAATAGACGAAAACATTGGCCAAGAGCAAACAGAAAAGCAAATATGAGAAAGGCAGCAGAATCCTCATCTGAAACCAAGCAAGCAGAAGACAATGGAGTGTCATCTTCAACATTTTGAAAAATTCTGTCAATCAAAAATTGTAAGTCCAATAGAAAAAAATCTTTCAAAAAGTATGCTATTAAAACATTTCCAGATGAACAGAAACTGATAAGATTCACTATTAGCATACCTACACTACAATAAGTATTAAGGACTTTTACAAACAGGAAGAATATCCTATCAGAAATAGACATGAATCTACCAAGAGACTTTTGAAAATGGTTAAAATGAAGGTAAATATTTTTAAAATTTTATAAATTTTATTTTAACACTTGATAGTTAACAAGTGAAAATAGGAACAAGGTATTATGAGTTTATAATGTATAAAAGTAAGATTTAGCAATATCACAAAACAGGACAGATTGAAATTGGAAGCATATTGTCATACTCTGTCATGAATTTTTGTCCCTTGAAAGTAGACTGTAGAACAGGCCCAGTGGCCCGCGGAGGGGCAGAGATGCCCCTCCCCCCGCGCCTGCAAGGTAGGCGGAACTGTGACCACCGACAGAACAGACCCAGTGGCCCGCAGAGGGGCAGAGATGCCAACCACGCCTGCAAAGTAGGCGGACCTGCGACCCACCGGCAGAACAGGCGCAGTGGCCTGCTGAGGGGCAGAGCCACCCCTCCCCCCGCACCTGCAAGGTAGGCGGACCACCAGCAGAACAGGCCCAGTGGCCTGCTGAGGGGCAGAGCCGCCCCCTCCCCCGGCACCTGCAAGGTAGGTGGAACTGTGACCACCAGCAGAACAGGCCCAGCGGCCTGCTGAGGGGCAGTGCCGCCCCCTCCCCCCGTGCCTGCAAGGTAGGCGGAACTGTGACCAGCGACAGAACAGGCCCAGCGGCCCGCGGAGGGGCAGAGCCGACCCCCGCGCCTGCAAGTTAGGCGGACCTGTGACCCACCAGCAGAACAGGCCCAGCATCCCGCGGAGGGACAGAGCTGCCCCACGCGCCTGCAAGGTAGGCGGACCTGCAACCACCAACAGAACAGGCCAGACCTGCAACCGACAGAACAGGCCCAGCAGCCTGCGGAAGGGTAGAGCTGTCCCCCCCCCCCCGCGCCTGCAAGGTAGGCGGACCTGTAACCCACCGGCAGAACAGGCCCAGCGGCCTGCAGAGGGGTAGACCGCCCCCCCCCACCGCTCCTGCAAAGTAGGCAGAACTGTGACCACCGACAGAACAAGCCCAGTGGCCCGCAGAGGGGCAGAGCCGCCGCCCGCGCCTGCAAGGTAGGCGGACCTGCTACCCCCCGGCAGAACAGGCCCAGTGGCCTGCATGCATGGTAGGCACATTGCCCCAATTGGAGGAGGGAGAATTTGCAACTATACAAGAGCAATATAAAATATATAGGGGGAAAATTCAACAGCACAACAGTTTCACCAAGCAGAAAGAAACGCGAACAGTATGAAGAGACAAGGAAAAAAGGACCACAAGCAATGCAGGTCAACTCAACGTTAGAAGAGGTAATATCTGCAGCAGATGGAATGTCAGATAAAGAATTCAGGATATACATGCTTCAGATGATCTGGAGTCTCAAGGAAGACATCAGACAGCAAAATCAGACAATGAAAGATCACTTCAACAATGAATTACATAAACAAATCCAAGAAGCAAAAGATCAACTATGCAGGGAGATAGAGGTTATAAAAAACTCAAACAGAAATCCTAGAAATGCAGGAAGCAATAAACCAACTTAAAATCTCAATTGAGAATACTACCAGCAGAGTAGAACACTTAGAAGATAGAACATCAGACAATGAAGACAAAGTATTTCAACTTGAAAAGAACATAGACAGCTCAGCAAGACTGTTAAGAAACCATGAGCAGAACATCCAAGAAATATGGGATAACATAAAGAGACCAAACTTAAGAGTCATTGGGATACAGGAAGGGATAGAAGTTCAAACCAAAGGAATGAGCAATTTATTCAATGAAATAATACGAGAAAACTTCCCAGACTTGAAGAATGAGACAGAATCCCAAATCCTAGAAGCCTACAGGACACCGAATGTGCAAAATCATAAGAGATCCACACCTAGACACATTATAATGAAGATGCCCAACATACAGAATAAGGAGAGAATTTTAAAAGCTACAAGAGAAAGGAAGCAGATTACATTTAGGGGTAAGCCAATCAGGATAACAGCTGATCTTTCAACACAGACTCTGAAAGCTAGAAGATCCTGGAATAACATATTTCAAACACTGAAAGAAAATGGGTTCCAACCAAGAATTGTGTATCCAGTGAAATTAAGCTTCAGGATGGAAGATAAAATTAAAACCTTCCATGATAAACAAAAGTTAAAAGAATTTGCAGCTAGAAAACCATCTCTTCAAAACATTCTCGGCAAAACATTACAGGAAGAGGAAATGGAAAATAACAATGAAAACCAACAGTGGGAGGTAGGACAGTAAAGGGGGGAAA